GCCCCAAGAAGGCCACGTAGAACGGGCACTGGGCTCTAGGGTCCCCTCGGCATCCCAGGGCTCCCAAAGAGACTGGCATTTCCCTGAGGCTTACTCGAAGACAAAGAGACACACACCCACACGGGCACACACGCTCCCTAAGGCATGTGCTTGCACGGGCCCCCCGGCTGCCCTGAGGGTGCACCCACACACAGACTGCGGCAATGGAGGTTTCCGTGCTCGGGCCCCCGGTGGCAACGTGTGGGTTGCTGCAGTTTTCTCTTGCCTCTTCTCTGCCTGTTCTTCCTGGGCTCTGCAATGGAGTCTCGGGATGGTCCATACGTGTGCATGGGGTTCTAGGTCTGCTCCAACTACCGTCCAGCACACCAGGTAGTGTGGAGTGCCAGGCCTTGGGGGGATCCCTGGGAAGCCCCAGGCCCACCCTACATCTTCCCACTGCTCCCCGCACGGCTGTACCATCTGCAGACGCGGCCCCCTTTCCTTCCTGCCTGCAAGGACTACGCAGAAGCTGCTGGCTTTGCAGGCTTTACTCCTCGGCTCTCTGCAGCACCAGGACCAGCAGGGACATGTGAGCTGCCTCCACCAGCCCGGCCACACTCTCCCACCCTAGTCCTTCGCTGGGGATCTCAGATGATACCAGGTACTGGCCCAGCCTCGGTCCCAGCCCTGGCCCTCCTCTTGTGGCCCTGGTCACCCGGGACCCATGAGCAGACAGCCCGTTGTCAGCTTTTTCTTCCCCAACCTGGGACCAAGAGAGGGTCGAGCTGCCACTGTCCCCGTCCTCACATCCTGACCTTGGGTCCCCGGGCCTGGGGCAGTTCTCCAACAGGTACATCTCAGACTCCCCTGGAAGATTCCAGAACCCAGCCAGCCTGCTGGGAACCTTGGGTCCTCTTTAAGGAGCATTCCTTCCAGCCACTCAGCTTTGCTGGGGGCCAGGGCCCGGGCTCCTGCATTGTGCTTGGCGAGTTCCTGGGTGTGACTCAAACTGTACAAGTTCCCATGCATGAGTTCCCCACCCCGGGTGGGGCTCCCAGGGAGCAGGGTCCAGAGATGGGGCTGAGGGTCCCCGAGGACCTACATAGAGACCCCAAAGGCCCCCATGACCACCAGGTTAGCCCTACCAACCTCTCCGTAGCCCGAGAGCCGCAGCAGGGAAATGGCTGGCCCTCAGGTTCAACAGGTATGGGCCCGAGAGGTGTCATGCCCTTTGCTGGGGGCCCAGGCGGTTGGATCCTCTGCCCACCCTGCCCTCCATCTCATGAGTGTCGACCTGCCTGGGGTAGCCTGGCACTAGGAAGCTGGGCTCACCCTCACCGGCCCCTGTGGCTCCCCATGCAGCACCCTGTCCGGGCTGGAATCAGACAGGAATAGTTACCCTGAGCATTCAAGTATGAGATTTTCCTCCAAGCCCACCTGGGTCCTGCCAGGGTTTCCTCCTTGAAATCAACAAGGCAAGAGCCCCACCCTCCCGGCCCTGGACCTCCAGCGGGCAGGGACAGCTACAGCTCAGGAGTGGGTGGTTGTCTTCAGGGCCTTTGCCTGCAGACAAGGACAGCAGGTGAGGGGCCCGGCCCACGGTCCCCCTGTGTGGCAGAGCCCAGTGTCTGCGAGCAGCCTTGGCCCCTAGACCCCGACCCCCGGTCTGCAGCTCACCTCCTCGTTCTTTGTCTTCCAGTAGAAATGGGCTTCTTTGTCCACGTACAACAGCAGCAGGTCACAGAGGAAGGTGATCTAGAGAGGCAGGGCCAACCCATGTCCTGGCCCCCACCCCTCATCCCCCGTGCCACCCTACATGCCCCCCACAGTGGATTCAGGCATACACTCCCTGCACCCAGGAAACCCATGCCGGTCAGACTCACCACGCCCAGCCAAGCCACTCCGGTGCCCAGCGTGATGGCCGTGGGGATGAGCCCAAACTTCCCTGCCTGAGAGAGAAGGGGGGTTCTGAGTCTCTAGGGCTGTGGCTGTCACCCCATGCCTCCTCCAGCACTGAATATCTGCCCCCTCCTGCCCTGGGCCCCACTCCTACCTGCCCCGTGACCAGGATGTCAAAGCGGATCCCATAGAGTTTGAGCAGGCTCCGGGCCTCCACGCCTGAGGCCTCCCACCAGTGACTGGCTGTCCTGGGGACAGAGGAGAGGGCTCTGGTGGCCTGCTCTGCCCCCACTCACAGGCCGGGCTGGTCTTCTCAGGCCTCCGTCTTACTTATGGTTTGAAGCCATAAATCTCCAGCCCTGAGCCTGCGCCCTGGGTCATTGTTGAGGATGTAAGGAAAAAGCAGACTGGGACCTGCCTGTGGGAATCTCTTCACCCGCTGAGGACACGGGGCCAGAGGACGCGTCCCTAAACAGACAGCAGCCACCGTGAAAGGAAGGGGAAGAAGGGGACTCTGGCTCTCTCCTGGGCACCGGGTAGGTTTTCTGGGGGAAAACATGCAGGCTCGGCCAGGAGGCATGAGCGTGGTACATGCAGGTGGTTTTCCAGAGCAGGGTCAGCGAGGGAGGAACGGGATGTGGGCAGGGAACCAGGCCCGTGGGCCAGAAGGCTGAGGGGGTCAGGGAAGCCAGCCCAGGCAGGACAGAGCCAGCCACGTCAAGGGACATCCTCCAGGCCGGGTGGCCATGTGTGCATGGATGTGTGCTCGAGTACACCATGAGGTGACACAAAGAGACAGAAGGATCCCTGGGGACTGCTTAAGAGACTCAGACAGGACAACAGATACAATGTAAGGTCCTTAGGGCCAGCAGGTGGCATAGTGCTTAAGGTGGCTGTCCACGGTTCCACTCCCGAGCCCAGGGGCTTGAAATTCATACGGGGCACCTGAACGTACATGCCCAACATCCTGAGAGGAGAGGAGAGGAGGGGTCGTGGTGTGCTTGTGCACCCTGGGGAGTGATTTCTCACTTTCTCCCTCTGTCTCTGTGTCTGGTTAGCGTATGGTTGACCGTGGTTCGAGTCCTAGACCTGGCAACTTGCTTTCTCTTCTCTCTCACTCTTGCTCTGTCCCTCTCTGGTCAAAATTAAAGAAAGAAAAAAAGGAAAACAAAACAGAGAGTGGAGGAGAAGGGATTGTGACGTGACCACCCTCCCGGGAGGTGATTTCTCACTTTCGGTCTCTGTCTGGCGAGCGCATGTGCCCTATAGCAAAAAAAAAAAAAAAAAGAAAAGAAAAAAAAAGAAAAAGAAACACCTCTCCAAAAAAGAAAACCAAAACAAAACAAACAAAAAGGAACCTCTAGTGCTCCCTGGATTGGACAATCCAAAAACGTAAACATGGGCCATCAGGTGGCGTGGTGGTTGAGGCCTGGATTCCTACATGGTTGACCTGGCTCAAGTCCCAGACCTGGCGGCTTACTTTCTCACTTTCCTCTTCTCTCTATCTCTGTCTGGTGAGTGTACGTGCCCTATGGCAAATTTTTAGAAATGTAATAATTAATCAAATAATTCTTGGGACCAGCAGATGGCATAATGGTTACCTTGCTGGACTCCCACATAGTTGACCATGGTTGAAGTTCTGGAACTGGGGCCTTTAAAACTCTCACCGGTTGGGACCAGCAATTAGCGTAATGGCTATGTCTCTGGACTCCCACATAGTCGACCATGGTTCGAGTCCCGGACCCGGTGGCTTGAACTCACGCCGGGAATGTGTGCATGTGTGCCCAAGATCCCGAGAGGAGAATGGAGGAGAAGGGATTGTGGTGTGGCCATCCCCCCTGGGGGGTGATTTCTCGCTTTCTATCTCTCTGTCTTTCTCTGTCTGGTGAGCGCACACGCCCTATAGCAAAAACCTCTCCCAAAAAAAACTCACACCAGTTGAGGCCAACAGATGGCGTAATGGTTACATCGCTGGACTCCCACGTAGCCTACCGGAGGAGAAGGGACAGCGGCATGGCCGTCTCCTTGGGGGGTGATTTCTCACTTTCCTTCTGTCTCTCCCTGTCTTCCTCTCAAGTCCTGGACCCAGCGACTTGGAACTCACACCAGGCACGTGTGTGTGAGTACCCAAGGTCTTGAGAGGAGAATGGAGGGAAAGGGATTGTGGCATGGCCATCCCACTGCTGGGTGACTTCTGGCTTTCTTTCTCTCCAGAAAGTGCATGCGCCCTATAGCAAAAATCTCTCTAAAAACAAATAAATAATCATTCTTAAAAAAAGAAAAAAGAAGGATAAAAAAGGAAAGAAAAAAACAAAAAAAAAATGGCCAGTGGGTGGCATGGCGGTTAAAGTGCAGGACTCCCACGTGGTCAGACACAGTTCGAGTCCCAGACCTGGTGACTTCATATTCATGCAGGGTGTGTGTACACACGTGTCCAAAATCCCAGGAGGAAAAGGGACTGCAGCATGGCTGTCTCCTTTGGGGGGGGGTTCGCATTTTCCCTCTCACTGTCTCTGTCTCTCTCCAATGAGCACATGTACCCTATGGCAAAACCTTACCAAAAAAAAGTTGAGGCCAGCAGGTAGTGTGGTGGTTAAGGCACTGGACTCCCACATGGCCGACCATGGTTCGAATCCTGACCTGGTGACTTGCTTCCTCACTTTCTCTTTCTCTGTCTCTATGTCTCTCTCTAGTCAAATTTTAAAAATAAATAATAACAAAATTAAATATTTTTAAAAAAAGTCTATGTGGGTGTTTGCAGTTCTAATCTTTGAGCTTTTCTATAAATTTTTGAAGTCTGAGATAAAAACAGAAGGGAAGAGTGAAAACGAGAGCCGGCTCTGGAAATGAGCCATCCAGCCAGGCAGGGGTGGGGACAGGTGGGAGGGAGGGTTTGGGCTGGGTGAGGAGGGGCAGCTGGACAGAGCCTGGCTGGAGGACTGGAGGTTGTGGAGGTCCCCTGCTGCCCTGGGGTCCCCCCTCCTGCACTCAGAGGAACATCCAGACGGCTGGGCACAGCTGTGGTCTGTCTTCGCCACCCCAGGGAGACTGGAGGGTGGCATTGAGCGAGGAGCCCCAGCGGGCGGTGAAGGAAGGGGCGTACCTGAAGTTGTAGCTCCGTTCCTGCAGGTGGAAGGAGTAGTGGGGCCAGCAGTCGGAGCCCCCCACGTCCAGGTCACAGTCCCAGTGGACGCTGATGCCCACCGCGCCACCCTGCGCACAGCCAATGCGTGGGGCTGGGATTTCCTCTCCAAGCCCTTGGGAGGTCTGCCCCCCACCCCCCGAGGACCCACCATCAATGCCAGGTCCTCGAAGGTCCCTCCGGCCTGAGCCACAAGGTCGCCAATGCGGAACACGGGGCAATAGGGGCTGGAGTGGGGGTCATAGCGGCAGCTCTTGAAGTAGGTGGCGTTCCAGGTCTCCAAGGCGTTAGACCTGGGAGGGGTCAGGGATGGGGGTCAGACACGGCAGGGGTCAGGGAGGTGCTTTGGGCCAGCCGGGACCTGTCCGTGCTTACTTGGAGAAGTTGAACTTGCTGAAGGTGACGGTGTTTTTGATGAACAGGGTGAAGTTCTCAGCCTGGCCCAGCAGGGGTCTCCTGCAGGTGGAGGAGGAAGGGGAACTGGGCCAGGACTCTGCCAGTCCCGAGGCCCTGTGCCAGGGGTGGGGCGGGGAGAGGACTTACGTGGGCACGGTGCCACTCTCCACGGGGCACCAGCCCCAGATCTCGCAGGTCCTGTGGGTCCCATTGAAAACCACACACTGGCCGGTTTTAATGCCTTGAAAACACAAGTGAGCTCCAGCCCCCAAACCTCTGCAGGGTCCGGGGAGGGCATGGCGCAGGGGTGTTGGAATGCAGAGACACAGGGACCTGCACTGGGAGCCACCAGGTTCCCAACCCGGCCCCCCACCCTGGTGGGGACGGGAAGACAGGGCCCCAGTACCGTGGCTGAACGTCCCGGTCTCCCCTTCAGGGCAGTCCTCATCGGCCCAGCAGCTAGCCAGCGGGATGGCGGGGTTCTGGGATGGGAGGGAGACCAGAGTCACCAGCGGCCTGGAGGAGCGTTTCCTCTCAGTGACCTAGCCTGCAAGGCCAGCTCCCACCTGAGCCCCCAGGACACCCTGCGTTTGGAAGCACACAGGAAAGACAGAGGGTGCAAAATAAAGATGGTCCAGGCCATTGGCGCCCTGCTAAGACCTGTGCCCTGCAGGCTGGGACCACACGGGAGGCCCAGGTTCAGTTTCCAGTCCAACCTAAAGACCGGCAACTTGAGGCTGAGAGAGAGGATTTTTTTCTTAAGAATTATTTTATTTAATAGTATTATTATTTCATTTGACCAGAAAGAGACAGAGGGAAAGTGAGCCCTGGTGGCTCACACATGGGGCACACTTGCACGCGCCCAGGGCCATGATGGGATGGGAAATTGGAGGAAAAAGGACTGCTATGTGACCTGCCCTGCTGGACCTCTTCCCCTGCCCCTGCCCCCCACCATGCGCATAATAAAAGAAAAGTTCTGCCCTAGGGCCTCCATGGGTGCCCCACCGCCATCTCCACGCCATGGCTAGCCTTCCACCACGCAGACCCGGCACCCTGTTGGTGTAGGTGTAGGCGTCCCCTGGGGCACGAGGTGTTGGTGTAGGTGTAGGCGCACCCTGGGGCACGAGGGATGAGTTTTGTGAGCTCAGCCCAAGGCACAGCCCAGAGGGAAGCCAAAGGCTGTGACACTCCAAGGACAGCCCAGTGCTGGGAGGGACTGAGTGACCAGGGTCCCAAGAGGTGCTGGCAGGGACTTGGGACTCCTCTCAGGAAGACAGGTTGTCAGAAGGGATGAACGGCCCAGCCCTGGAAGTCTCATGGAAGATTCAAGAAGCCTGGACATGGGCAAAGAGGAGTCACGGATTCCAGAAAATGAGGCCCCATGACCCCAGGGAAATTTCAGAGCAGCCTACAAACTGAGGGCTAAATAGATATGCGGGCATTCAGAAAAGGGAGGATATTTGGGACCAGCAGATGGCGTAACGGCTATGTCGCTGGACTCCCATGTAGTCGACTGCAGTTCGAGTCCTGGGCCTGGTGGCTTCAACTCACATTGGGCGCATGTGCGTGCGTGCCCAAGATCCCAAGAGGAGAATGGAGGAGAAGGGACTGCAGCATGGCCAGCCTCCCGGGGGATGATTTCTCACTTTCTGTCTCTCTGTCTCTGTCTTCCTGGTGAGCGCATGTGCTGTATAGCAAAAACCTCTCCAAAAAAGAAAAGAAAAGGAAGAACACTGTAGCTTCTCCAAGGGTGAGCACACCCTTTGTGCCCAAACCTCAATTCCTTTGCAGATGGCGGTCTACCATGGACATGTGATGTCCCCAGTGACTGTGATGGGACCAGCCACTCGGGCTCAGAGGACAGCTGTCTACACAGTGACCCTCCAGCCCAGCAAGCAATTAAGTGTTGGCCTTGACTAAAGAAGCTATGTCCTGGGTCCCAGCTGTTCAGGTGGGCTGGTCCATAGCGCAGTGGTTAAGCACTGAGCAGAGGAAGCTGGATCCCAACTGGGGTTCAAATCCCAGCCCCAGCATCAATACGTAGGGATGCACACGCATGCCCAGGATCCCCATGGGAAGGGGGTTTGCTACCTAGCCAGGTCCTGTGGGGCATTCTCTTCTTCTCGTGTGTGTGCACATGCACGTCAAGATGCTGGATCCCTGAGACACCCCCAGTGAGGGAGTAAGTTGAGATCATCTGTATTTCTGGATCACAGATATAAGAGAGGCCCTGGCTTGACCACAGTCATCAAGAAAGATACCCAAAGAGCCTATGCGATCCCAAACTCAGCGTAAGTGGGAGTGTGCTGTGTTCACTCACTGTAGAGGAAGCTGCCTCAGAACACATGAACAGGGCATGGGCACAGAGGAGGGGAGGTGATCTTCCAGCACCGACCATCTGGAGCGCGCCCAGAGGTGAGAACAGGATGGGGAGGGACCTGGACACCTCCTGGGAACTGCTGTTTCTCAGAGATCCAGGCCCTGTCACCCACAGCCTGGGAGGCCATAGCCTCAGTCTTCTCATCTTAAATGGGGGTCATGTGCCAGGCAGGGTATATGTAAAAACGAAGGGACCAGCAGATGGCGTAATTGTTACTTTGCTGGACTCCATGCGACCATGGTTCCAGTCCCAGACCCGGTGGCTTAAAACTCATGCCAGGTGTGTGTGCCTGAGATCCTAAGAGGAGAATGGAAGAAAAGGGATTGCGGTGTGGCCATCCCCCTTGGGGGGTGATTTCTCGCTTTCTGTCTCTCTGGCTCTGTCTGTCTGGCGAGCGCACGTGCCCTATAGCAAAATCTCTCTCTTAAAACAACTAAATAAATAATTTGCAGAAAGATGTAGCTCAGTGTCCGAGATACGCTCAGCCACCCGGGAGGACAAAGACAGACATCTGGTGGCCCAAGGCTGGTGGATCCTCTGGGAAGCTCCTGGGCACTTACCTCTGGGCACCTGCCCTGGACTTGGGTTGGCATCACAAGGAAGTTGGTCACCAAGAAGAACACGTTCTCGCCCTAGGAGGCAAGTCTCAGGGTTGGCCTTGGCTTGGCTCTCTTGACTAGAGAGGCCAGAGCTGGCAGCCCGGATAGTGAGGGAAGCAGTTCTGGCCTCATCTGCTCCCACGGAGCCAGGCTGAAGCAGAGATGGGACTCCGGCTGGGCTTCCGGCCACCTCAGAGTCCAGGGAGTCTCATACATATTCACCACTTTGAGGCACACGCTCATTCGTTCCACTAGAAATTTCCAAGAGTCTCCCGCTCCCAGGGACTGCTAACCCAGAGGTGAGCTAGGCCGGGGCCCACTCAGGGATTAGACCGGTCACTCATCACACGCACAGCAGCACCGGCACACAGGAGCCAGGGGAGCAGATGGTAAGCTGGTCCAGGGCCAAAGGGTGGCCAAAGACATTCTGAGGGTGTCTGCACCCCAGTGCTGTACATGTGGAGTGCGCTTGCCCAGGAAGGGAAGGCGAGGGCTGGCAGAGGGCAGGGGGCGAGCAGCCATTAGGATATAGAAAGACTTTGTGGCTGCTGTCATGGGAGGAGAGCCTTCCAAGGGTGGAAAGCAGGGACTGGTGGGCTCCGATGATACGAAGAGTGAAAGCGCAGGGCCAGCAGGTGGCATGGTGGTTAAGGTGCTGGACTCCCACATGGCCGATCATGGTTTGCGTCCCAGACCTGGCAGCTTGCTTTCTCACTTTCCCCCTCTTTCTCTCTGGCCAAACAAAAACAAAACCAAAACTAATAATAGGACATAAAATAAGGGGGCCAGCAGGTGGCATGGTGATTAAGGTGCTGGACACTCTCACATGGTTGACCGCAGTTCGAGTCCTGGACCTGGTGGCTTGCTTTCCCATTTTCTCTCTCTCTCTCTCCCTGGTCAAATTAAAATAAATGAATAATAATAACAACAACATAAAATAATATAAAATAATTCTTAAAAAAAAAAAACAAAGGAAAAGTACATGTGCACCCCGAGGTACAGAGCAGGTGAGTTAAAGCACCCACCAGCCATGAAGAGACCACAGCCACACCCAGGCACAGCGCGAACTGTCGCTAAAAATGTTGGGAGGGACGTGAAGTGTCAGGACTGAGTCTGGGGTCACAGCCCTCATTGAATGAAGAGAGGCCATGCCGGGACAGGGGGACGTGGTGGAGTGTCTCCAGGACGCAGCTGCGCTTGGTACTGGTGGAACAGGGCGGAAATGGAGGCTGCGGGTGAGCTGAGTGGAGGGAGAAGGGAAATGTCGCCCACGAGGCAGAGGGTGAGACCCTCAGGTTATGGAAGGGGCTTCAGGAAGTCCCAAGGCCTGGCATGCACACACCTCCAACTGCATCTCAGACTCAAGCCTCGCATCCCAGACACTCCATTCCGTTCCGGACACAGCCTTTGGAAATGGAGTTCCTCTGGCCTGGCTTGAACTGGCCCCTCGTCCACCTGGAGAGCACCTACACACGTCTGAAAGCCCACTGATCCGTGAGGCCCGCCCAGGCCCGCCCAGGCCCGCCCAGAGCCCTCCAGTGGGGGTGTCCCAGCTGTCAGGGCCGAGAGCTCACCCCCAGCAGCAGCACCAGCGTACCCACCTGCGACGGCTTCACGAAGTCGGCCACGTCCCACAGCCGGTTCCCGATCTCTTTGATCTGGGTCACAGAAACCCCTTTCAGTTTGGTGATGACAGAAACATGGGGGTCGAGGTCTCGCTCCTGGTAGCCATTGTTGGCAAGGAGGGCCCACCTGGGGAGGAGGCGGGGCAGTGTGGTTGCGTCCCCGGCACAGGGTGAGCAGTGACAGAGTGGGCCCTACATGTCTGGCTCTGCCCACACACCCTGTGGGCTCCCAGCCTGCACCCAGAGCCCCTGCCTCCTCTCCACTCTCACGTCTACCCCAGACCGCCTGAACAGGCCGGAAGCCCCAGCCTGGCTCTCCAGTGCCCTCAGATGGAGAGAGCCACCACCACCTCCACCCGACACCCCCTGTCCTCCTTAAAGACTCCTCTGACCCCCAGGAAGACCTGGTCGGCTCTCTGGGGGGCCTCAGTGCTCCCACTCTCATCATGTCAAGGACTGTCTCTGCCCTGCCAAGACACCTCCTGAGCAGGGATGGGGCCAATCCTGCCCTGTGCCCGGAGCCCAGAAGGGGGCTAGGATGGAGCCCCACAAAAGAGGCAGGTGACACCTGAGACCCCTCCTCTGTCTGCCCCGACCCCAGCCAGATTTGCATGTGTGCCCCCAACCTGCCACTACCACCAGCCTGGCCCCTGAAGAGCCAGCCAGTCCTGTGTCCCTCGGCCCAGCAGGGCCAACCCCGATCCTCCTGGCCAGCCTGGCCCAGAGTGGCCCTCTCTTACCCCACCACGTAGACCACAATGCCTAGCTGCAGCAGCCTCTGCAGGACGCCCACCCGCCAGTTCTTGGTCATCACATACTTCTCCGTCTTGTAATCCAGAAGCCCCCAGGCTGCCACAACCCCAGAGAAGCCCATGGTCTGGGCTCTGGCTGCGGCTGCTGACACTCCAGGGTGAGAGCGCCACACCGCCGCCCCCAGCCACTGCTGAACAGGAGGCAAAAAACGGTCCCCAAGCCAGGCCTGTTAAAGGGACACTTCCACAGCAGGCGGGACCCAGCCTCCACCCCTAGCCTTGGGCCTCCCTGGCTCCCCCATTCCCCCTGCTGAGTCTTGGCACACGGAGAGGAGCTGCCCTGTCCCTGCACTTTGACCTCCCTTCCTTATGGGTGGGGGACCACAGGTTTCACAAGTGCTACGTGGCCAGAGGAGGGGGCAGGAAGGCTTCCAGAGCAGTGACTTCAGAGGACACTTTCTCCGCAGTGTCAAGGAGCAAAGTTGGGGGAGGGGCGTGCCCGAGGGCGGGAAGGGCATACACAAAGGTCAGGGCACGAACGAGAGGGCCACGGAGCGAGGGTGCGACTGTGGGTCCAGAGGGAGGGAACTGCCTCTGTGAGGTTTCCAGGCCCTGTCCCCAGACTCAGGGCCTAAAGCGCAAACTCTAGAGTCAGGCGCGTTTCTCAGTCGGTGCAGGGCGAGCGGTGCTGGAACCTCACTGAGCTGCAGGCGGAGTAAATGCCCGCAAGGCGTCGGGTCCCGGCCGGTGCAAACGCTCTTATTGGCTCTGGCTAGGAGCTGGCTCAGGGTTAGCGCCGGCCCGAGACGGTTTCTCCGGCAACCAAACGCACGCGTTGCCCTGGCGACTGTCGCGGGGGCCACGCTCTCCTATTGGCTACGGTGGACGCTTGTTTGCACAACTCCACAGTCGATTGGTCAGCGCGGCTAAGGGTCCGCCCCCACTCCCGGGCCGCGTTCTAAGAGCGGCGCGCGGCGGCCCAGACCTCCGCGTCCGCTGCAGCGGAGTGGGCGTAACCATGACGGCTCCCAGCGAGGGGTCTGCGGAGAACCAAGGGCCGGAAGAAGAGGCGGCGAGAGTTCGGCGGAGGATTCGGACTCCGACCTGGAGACAGGTGTCCCTGGTGGCGTCCCCTGGAGTGGTAGAGAGACGGGCTGGGGCTGAGCTGTAGGGGACCCCTGTCCCGCTGGGAGCGCACCCTTCTGTGGATCCACTCTGGCCCCCTGGCCCTACCAGGATGAGCTGGGACTGAGGAAGGGATTTGCTCTCAGCGCCTTGACATCCTCATCTGTAGTAGGGGCAGTAGTCCGGAATAGCAGAGGAAGAAATGCTTCTAGAACACAAGGGCCAGGTAGCAAGGGAGGAGGCAGAGGGCTGTGTCCATGACGTGATGCACATTTGTCCCGTCTCCTAGCAGGTACCCACGGGCTCCGAGGGCTGGGCAGGGACACCCTCTACCTGCGCACTCGCGGGGCCCACGGTGCTGTGCCCCCTTCCTGCTTTCTGCGCCAAGGGAGAGCCCCGGAGTTGAACCTGCGGCACCGTGGCCTGGGGCCCCAGGTACTTCTAGAGGGATGCTGGGGCCAGGAGACAGCAGCCGTGGGAGTCCCCCTTCCCAGCCTTCCTCTGCCAGGTCCTATCCCCACGTCTGGGAGAACCAGGGGGTACAGGCTGCCTAGAGATCCGTTTGAGGCTGGGGAGCCTGCAGGCCCCACCCCAGCGAGGGTCAGAGAGGCTCCAGGAGGTGAGGCCTGGATGGAGTTCAGGAGAAGCACGAGTCCTCAGGCCTGTGGGAAGGGAAGGGCTTTCTGGTTAGAGGGCCCCAGGTGGGCTGAGCCGAGCGAGTGGCCCTCTATGTCTGGAGCCCTCAGCTCCTGAGGGGATGGGCCCTTCAGGCTCCTCTGCTCTGACCCAGGGGGCCCGTGCTCTGGCTTCCATGCTGTCCTCTAATCCCTACATCAAGCGGCTGGACCTTCGGGACAATGGGCTGAATGAAGCTTGTGCCGAGGCCCTGGCAGGTGCCCTGAACAAGAACAGCAGCATCTGCGGTAGGTGCTGAGCCTGGAGCAGGTGGCAGGTTCAAGCCCTCCCCTTCCTCAGGGATGCGCCCTCCACACTGACCTTCTCACCTGGAGCCTTCTGTGTGGTGGGGCGGGGACTGGGCCTCGTCACAAGGTGGAGCCTCTTAGGTGGAGCTAGATCCTCTGCTGGTGCCCCCAGGACTGGACGCCCCTCCCACCTCTGCAGGCCAGCACCCCAACCCCAGGCTCATTGGTAGACTCGCTGGCAGCACACAGGGTGGCGAATCCTCAGACACAGAGGGCAGGGGCTGGGCAGCGCAACTGGGGAAGGTCAGAGTCCAGAGGGGCTCCATCCAAACCTGCCCTGGCCACCACAGAACAGGCTGGCCTCGGCAAGCAGCCCCACCTCACCGAGCCTGTTTCCAGCCCGAGAAATGGCCCCAGCAATACCACTGAGCTCTTGGGGTCGTGGTGGCGTTGAGCTGCATACGTGACATGGTCAGCTGTCCCTGGCCTGCGTAAGTGTCCTGTGCATGGCTGTGATGATCCATTTTTGTCAGTCCCTGGCCACGAGGCAGTGAGGGCCTCTTGGGTGGCTTGTATCTGCTAGACACTGTTCATCACAGAGTGGCAGCCCCCCCACCACTGCACTGCCATGGTTCCACAAGGTGGATATGTGGACACACGTGTGTGGACACACAGGGAGGGGAGACCTAGCCAACAGGTGGCAGAATGACCATGCAAGCCCAGGACAGTCCGTTGACAAAGCCCCGTCCTTGGGGGGTGGAGGAAGGTGGTTCCTGGCTTTGCAGCCCACTGACCGAGCGTGGTGCTGGCCTGCAGATGTGGACCTGTCGGAGAACCAGCTGGGAGCTACAGGAGTCCAGGCTGTGTGTGCCAGCCTCGCGAGGAACCAGGTGGTGCAGAGGCTGCAGCTGGCGGGGAGCGGCCTGGAGGAGCAGGCGGCCCAGGCCCTTGCTGAACTCCTGCTGGTCCACACCAGCTTGAAATCCCTGGACCTGAGCTATAACCAGCTGAATGACCAAGCAGGTAACGCCTGGCCAGGACCACGGGGGGACGTGCAAGCTCGTCTTCCTCTGGTGGGGGGTGGGGGTCAGGGGTAGGCAGGACCACACTGAGCATCTGCCAGAGAACATCCGGGCTCTGCTTCTGCCCCCACATCCACCTGGGCCTACTCCTCCCACTCCAGACACAGAAGTTTTCATCCGCTCCAAGAATAGATCGTTGCCTGCTCTGTGTGTGTGTGAAGGAGGCGTTGATTCAAGCCAGGAGCAAAATGAAGTCCCTGGCCTCAAGAAATACATTTTTTTTGTTTGTTTTTGTTTTGTTTTGTTTTAGAGTTTTTTTTTTTTTTTTTTTTTTGGGAAGGTTTTTTAAATTAGGGAGGATGTG